GGCTCTGAGCTCGGGGGCGGCAGGGCCCACCCGCTGCCCCTGGCTCTAGAAGTTTGGCACTGCCAAATTGGCAGCATTAACCCCACACCTTTCCGGGGATCCCAAGGGCTGGAGGGTGAGCACCCTGCTCCCAGGAGCCTGGTGCGGCCCCTCCGGAGGGAGTCTGCCTCCGCCTGTCCCCGAAGGGGCTCCACGAGATGGGAGCAGGTGGATCAGGGGCCCGAGCATATAGGCTGATCCAGCACAAAGGAAGGTGCCATAAATGTGAATGCTGACGCCAAGGAAGAGAGCAGTGGTTCTCAGCCTGGGTGCTGCCGCAGCCCCCTGGGGTGCCGCGGGGTCCTTTTAAGGGTGTTGTGGGGCACCAAGCAAAGATGCCAACGCGAGATGGGCTCAGAGGTGTCAAACGTCCGTGGCATCAAAACCGTTCTATGATCTTCCTTGAGGTCTTTGCCACAAAGGAATTGTTCCAGTTGTTTTTACCCATCGTCAAACGCGGGAAAGCAAGAAGCCTTTCCTGAGTGGTGCTTGGACTCTAAAAGGGTTGAGAACCCCTGGAAGAGACGCTCGGGCTGTGATCTGACCCAGGTGGAACCCGAACTTCTCGCCCACGGAAGCCATCGGACAATTTCCATGGACTTCAGTTGGGCCAAGATTTGGCTCGCTCTCAGACTTAATTCCTGACTCCGAGTAACTTTAGACAACGTGTGTCTGATAAAACTGTTGCCAAATCTGGGTGTATTTTTAACCCCTCAGAATTCACCAGATGATTCATTTTACGTGATGACTCCTGTGCTTCGGGGAGTTTACTGAGTTTGCGAGTGTAAAACAGTGACACTATTATACCATAGTACTTTCTGGCAGCTTGAGCAACAGATTAATAAAGGCGCCTCTTGGCTGACTCCATTTAAGCATTCACACTGCAGTTACCTGAGCCAATGGGAAAGGAAGGAGGCCAAGCATGAAAGAGCAGGGAAACCCAGTCTTTATTTTTCCCTTTTATTTTGTGACAGGGGGAAAATTGTGCTTGTGTGGATGGGGTCTTTCCTGTGCTAATGCACTGATAAATGTATACCTGGTACTAGAAATGGTCTCCAACCAGAAAACTTGTACCCAAATCCTACTTTGTGTTTAGATGCCCATTCACATCTATTATTGTTTCTGAACACGCAAGCCATGTCATAAAATCAATAGACAGGGCCCTTCCTCAAAGAGTAGATAAGCTAAATTTGACTTGCCATGACAAGGGAGAGGGTCCTAAGCAGAGAAAACAATAGCATGCTAGTGCAGTTACTCAATGAGACTAATACGATGTGTGTTCCTCATGATTCAAGTTCTTTGCTGTGGCTTTTGTGATTCCCCTTTGTCTTCTTTGTGGTTCTTCTCCCTTTAGCTTTGTGCCTGAAAGCTGCTCAGTTTGGCAGTTTCTGCTCAGACTTTTACTTAAGATTAAGGGATTTGCACTGGTGACCCTGATTCTCCTCTTGTTTAACTTCAGGGGCAGATCCAGAGGGGTACGGTACGCTGGAGTGGCTGCACTCCCTTTTTGGATTGCTCTGCACCACAGGAGCCTCCAGGGACTTTCTAATGTTCCTAAAGCATGTGAAAATCCTCCGTCCCTACCCCTTCCTGCTCAAAGGCATGCCCCCTCCTCTGCCCCTTCCCCACCTCCCCTGCCTGACTTTTCCAGAGAGGTTCCTGTCCCTTGCACAGGGAAGCTGGGCTCAGCTGGGGACTGACAATGGCAGCATGGGTGGATAGGGTTTCCCTTTCTTGTGCCTGCTGTGGGAAGGGTTGGGGGGAACTACTCTCCTGCCACACTGCTGTCCCCTCCCCAGATGAGCCCAGCCTCTGCTCAACCCGGCTGGCTCTGGAGCTTCCCCACTCCTGAGCAAGAGATTTTAGGAGGAAGGGAAGGGGTGTGCCTCTGAGCGGGAATGGAAAGAACAGGGATTTTCACCCTAAATTTTAGGGACTTAAAAATATGCCCACAGTGGTGGAGTTGAAGGAGGCTGGGAGCAGGGGATGCAGCCACCCCTGCAGTGTGGGTTGCTACTCCCATACACTCCCCTTTGGGCAATCCTGGATCCACGCTGCCTGTGGCTTCTGCTGTACCCCCTTCTTAAAATCCTGGATCACCCATGCTCCTGACTTACGCTGTGGGGGAAGAGGCAGGAAGAATCCTTGACTTCCTTAGCCTGGGGGGGGCAGGGGGAGGAGGGCGGGCAGTGCAAGCCAAGATCTGGAACTCCTACAGGAATAAAGATGAGTATTTGGATAACAGCGGATGTTGTACAGGAGCTGTGAATTAGGTATACTACAGGGATGAGCAGTAATGCCAGTTGAAGGTGAAGAAACTGGGCTGGTATGTCAAAAATCCAAATGAGACCAACAGGGAGTGTAAGGCTGCCCTCACCCTTGAGGCTACCGTGTGGAGCTGCACACCACATTGGCCAAGGACTCTGACCACCATGTGAGAGACACCAGGCACCCAGAGGGCACAGACATAGATAGAACTTGCTGAGGAAGTGGCTGCAGAGGGAACACCAGACCCCTTGGAGATCTAAGAGCTACTCACTAAACAGCCCAGCCAAGCCAGAAAAGGGCAAGGAGCTCAGGTCCATTTGTTAAACTTTAGTTCTTTCCTTTCTATAAAAACTTTCTTTACGACCCCTGAAACCTCCTTCTGCTTTGACTTCCCCTCTTCTGCTTTTCCTGCCTCCTTTCAAAATGGTGGCTTTACGCACCTGCTCAGAGAACAAAAATATTGTCCGGATATTAAAATAGCCGGTTTATTTTTAAATCATACAAGCAGTAAAGAGAGAGACTAGCAGAATCATTAGTAGCCAGCAGCTCTTGGCAACGAGATGCGGTTTCTACATGTCTAAATGAATTTATTGCACATGTAAATTGAGCTATACTGTGATCACTGATCAGTTCCTAAAAGCATAAAAATAAGGATATAGGACATTTAAAATAATCTTTTAAAGCAGTCTAGTAATTGGCAGTCAAACTGCAAGACATTTGAAAGTAAACGTAATGTAAACATTGCAAAAGATTGTACTTCCAATTGGCCAAGTTCAAAGGAAATCACACTCATGTATTACTTGGATTAAAGAGCAGAAAGAGGTAGAGATGGTGTTGGTAGTTCAGTAGGCTTCCATTCACTTTGGGCAAAAACAGATGTGGGATTTCTCCCAGGACAAAACCTTTTTCTGGGATCCTGCAGACGTACAAGCTCTTTGTCACACTTTAAGTACTTGCAAAGTATCTGATATCTGAGCAGAGTATAATTGGCACATGGTCTGCTCAGCCTAAAAAGGGGCATAAAAAACTCAGGTCTCTCACTTCCCAAGTTCTCTAACCACAAGGATAACATGCTTGAAGTGATTCTCATTTAGCTCTGAGGCAAGCAGCCTATGCTGTCAGTGTGCTAGCTACAATAAGTACACCTACCAGAACAGGCCCTTTAGGACTGCAGTAGGGAGATGTTCAGTAACTGGTAAATTTACTGGATTATTGAGATGGGCTGTGACAATCTGTTCAGCCTCTGCCCCTTGAAATGTAGACTGGAGTGGCATAGACCCATGAATGCAATTGTGGGCCTGTCTTCCACCAGTATCCTTTTGGCTCTTGCTTCAAATGTGTTATTAGCATGAGCCAACAGAAACTTCCTGTTAACCTGGAAATCACTCCGGTAGGTAATGCTTTTTGGAAACAGTTTAGGCTTTTGGCTGTTACTTGTGAAGTATTGCGATCTGAGCAGAGTATAATATATGCTAGTGGCACATGGTCTGTTTTGCTTTTGATTTTATTATATTACACAGGGCTCATCCTGGAATATAGAGAGGGTGGATATAACATAAATATTTCAGCAATAGTACTGAAACTAATTGGTTCTTAAACCATTGTCATTGGTAATTTTGAATTCCTGATCAAGACTGGTCATTTTCCTACTATAGAGGGTCTTTCAGATTGCTGTTTAAGGTCTTGTCTATATTTAGATTTGAACAAGTTTAATAAGAGGTATGATTTTAAACTGAATTATAGTTGAGTATGTATAAAATGTTATGCAAACACTCTTAATTTGATTTGGAGCTGAACCTAAGTCAATATAAAGATAAAATAAGGTTTAAATCAAATTAACAGCAGTAACACAACCAGATTTTGGACCTTTTAACTGAATTGGTTTTTAAACTGATCTAATAAAATGATGTAATTTTGAACACTGACTAGGCCCAATAATGTTGATCTTGTAATTGCTCTAGGCTTTGAAATAAACAACATATTGAGGTGAATCAAAGTGATAAATAGTAGAATTGACT